GATACCCAGGTATTTACAGGAAAGTGAGACATTCATCTTGCTATATGTGGCCAAAAAGAATCGAATATATTTAATAATCTTGAAAAAATGAAAATAAAGTACATCGATTCATGGGTTTCAAGTGTCAACACCGCGCTTGTTCCAAGACGGGAGGGAAGATTTCTTGTAGTTTCTTAATTCTGCAATGTCAGTCAATATCAGGTCATCCAGAAAACCGCGAGACATTGTTCTTGCCACGTCTGACAAAAGAAAATCACTTACGTTTCAATGGAAACTGAGCCCTAGAACATTTATGTGCGTGATTTTACAAGGTTTCTATGTGCTTGATGGTTCAGATATCTATACGTACGGTAATGTATGGCGTCTGTACCCAACTCCTTTACTGACTCTTCCCATGAGTCTATGACAAGTTGACAGTTGCCTTTTGAATTGTATGGACCAGCGTTGCCGAATTGTAGTCTGCTAGTGAGTGACCTTTGGCAAGTAACGTGGCTTTTTAGTTGCCAGTTAGTCACCACAAGGCCACGTTTTAGACACGTCCTACGCCCATTCTTCATAAATTCTACAAATTAAAATAAGCTTTATTCTACATTGAAATTTCAATAAATTTTATTGTAATATATTACTATGGCTGTTTTATTTAATACCTTATATTATGTTACATATTCATACATGTGCCACGTCATCGAAGAATACAATTTTATATATTAAAATAAATGTATATTTGTCATAGCATTCGCTTATGTACATCAGAATCAATAAAATATCTACCACGACATTGCGAAGACCTAATCAGACATATTTATACACACTTCTCCCATAGTGCCAAAAGGAAATATGAACTTAAACTTGCCCAAACTTTTCTGGACCTTTAGCTACACAAAATCTTACATGCTTGTGCCACTCGATGACTGTCGTTGCACGCAGCAGTTGAGCGGGAGCTTGAACAGTGGGATGCTTTAAAATTATGAAGTAGTCCTACCGTCTCTTTCGGGTGTTATTAAAAAGAAAGAAAGAAAACGTCCCCCACTCCCTGTGTTCCCCACTTTCTGTGTATCATTCTTCGTGTTTGTTTCCTAAACGCTCATTAAACAATCAGTCACTCAGTGTGACTTTGGCTGTGTCTGGCGTGGACGTTTGGTTAGTTTTGTGCACCATAATGAAGGCCAGCCAACTTTTTGCAGTTTTCGTCACTACCTTGTAAGTACTATCCTGCTTTGTCGAATTGCCACATCACTATACATGAGCGAATTATTTTGCGTCATATGTTTTTAGCGAAAAAAAAAATCGTTGAAGGCTACCAGGCTAGGTCGCCAGGATAAGTTGAAGCTTAGGAATGGCAGGTACAGGATATGTTTGTGGTTAAAACTATTAACATCGGTATTAGTTCACTTGTTGCTTCTAAACGAATCTCAGGAATTTTATAGTTGCAATCAGTAGTTTCGTCAATTCTAAGACACTTTTCTTCACTGCCATTTCCAGCGCGAATTGCATATAGACGAGATATTTAACATTTTATTATGTATGTTCTTACATAGCGGTACACACCCTGAACATCGAACGCTCTGTGGAGCTACCCTGGTTAGGTTAGGCCAGATTAGATTCAAAACTGTTTTCCGATGGCTTACGATGTGTTTTGAACACTTTTAACCATTATTTTTATAGCAAAAATCTCTAGATTCTGATATGGGGGGGGGGGTGCTTATCTCAGAAACTATTGATTTGCTCCAGAAATGAAGGTCAAGTTCGTTTATAACATCAAAAACCATAGGAAAACATAGCTTCAACTTTGATTTCATATAGTGACAACAAGTGAAAATTTACCTTAAGAGAGAAAGTATATCTAGTTACACTACTGCAGTCTCATTGCAATTTCAACACCATGTTGACCAGCATTTCTTGGACGAGTAATTAATACTTTTGGTGACCATGTTTTTTACGTGAAACCCTAATTTTATGGTGTACTTTGGCGTGTTTTCTTCAAATGCGACTCTCATTTCCCTGGGAAATTTGTGATTTTCAAGGAAACAACGATTTAGTTGTCAAATATATATATATATATATATATATATATATATATATATATATATATATATATATATATATATATATATATATATCATTAACCAACCTAAGAAACCTACCTCACTTTATCTAATTTCCTAGCCGGGAGCTCCGCCCCCATGACCCCCCCCCCCACCCCGTCGCCATATTTAACAGAAAGTACTTAATATTCACTCTTTGTATAGGAAATGCGGATGTCAGTAAAACCAATCTTAACCATTGGATGTAAAAACAAATTAACCAATTAGACACTTCTGATATTTCCAGACTCTGGGAAAATTTAACGGCTGCATCCGGGGACTAATTAATGTATCTAATCCTTGGGTGAATCCACGAAAAAAAATTCAGTCACCAAACATGACCAAGTTAAATTTGTGACTATCTATTTGTGATATTTTTTTTAACCGGTCACCAGGCAGGTAACCTACAAAACCTGTAGTAAGTAAAATGTCTGGCAGTGACTTTTTCGTTAGGTCTATTAACAATGATTATGGCAGGCATATAAAAACTGACCTGACAAACACTGATACCCAAAAGCCTCGCCTCTCACAGCTCTCTACTTGCGCTTTGTGACGGGAAGGAGAAAGCAATGCCATATATTTATTGACAATTTTAGATCTTCAGAAAAGCTAAACAACACGAATATTTAAAATTATCTAAGGAAATGTGCTTTTAATGGCGTTCTTTGGCTATTCTTTGTTAAATCGACTTCCTCTTTCCTGCTATTAGCAAGCTTCTACTGCTTATACAGTATATTGTACATGTTGAACCACTGTAACCTTGTTTGACGATTTTCCGGAACGAATATCAATCTCTATATATGGTTGTGCGAGTTTATGAAGGTAAATAAAAAAAAAGAAAGTCCTCAAACTCATCAACTTAATCAAAATTGGTTACACTTCTTGTATGGCAGACACCCAAATAACCATATCTAAGTTACTTTAACCCGACCTAATTGGGTATTAAGATTCGCCGACCTAGAAGGAGTCTGAGCTCTGACACTTTTGGCAAAGGGGGATTGGCAGGTGGTATTTTGCCTACGTACCCAAAAGGTTAATTGTCCCGCGTCTACATTAATCAAGGTAGCATTAAATTCCTCTTTCGCAATAAGCTGTTCCAGATGGTCACAAATAAGTTACTGTATTACCCTAAGCCTGGGGCAAGCAACGACGGTCACTCTCTCCAGTACAGCTATTATATATTCTGTACATGTAACACGTGTGGCTAGTGGGGTAAAGGGGCAAACAATAATGAAAGGTAAAATTGTATCGACAAAAACACATTCAATGGATGGACCGCAGTCCTCGTGTAAGGTAGTGTTGATGGTGGGGAGGGTGTGAACTGCGAGTGGTGGGGCCCGGGGGATGACGTGGGCTGGTGGTAGTGAGGTGTGGGCTTGTGGTTGGGGGAAGGGGTGGGCTGGTGGTGAGTCACCGGTGGTGGGCTGGTGGTTGGGGGTGGGCTGGAGGTTGGGGAAGGGCGTGGGCTGGTGGTTGGGGAAGGTGGGCTGATGGTAGTGAGGGGTGGGCTGCTGGTGGTTGGTTGGGGATTGACTGCTGGTGGTTGGAGTTGACTGCTGGTGGTTGAGGGCGGGCTGGTGGTGGGGAGAGTGTGGGTTGCTGGTGGTTGGGAGGGTGTGGGTTGCTGGTGGTTGGGGGTTGACTGGAGGTAGCTGGGGCGGGCTGGTGGTGGTTGGGGGACGGGGTGGACTGGTGGTTGGGAGGGTGTGAGCTAATGGTGGTGGGGAGTGTATGGACTGGTGGTGGTGGTGGAGTAGGGAAGGTGTGGATTAGTGTTAGTGGAGTGGCGAGGTGGTGGAGTGGTGGTGATGGAGAGAGGAGAGTTGGACTGGTTGTGGCATGCTTGGTTCACTGGGTTTGATGGCCGTCAACTTCTGAGGTACGGCTAGGGTGGGGCGGTGGCGTTGGAGTAGTAATTGGGGTAATAGGAAGGAGTCAGTTGGAGGGAGGAAAGTGAGGTACTGTAATAGGGAGGTAGTCGACTGGAGGAGAACGAGTAAGGGAGGTTAGTGAGGTAACTCGACCAGTCCGGCCTCACGGGTTGGGGGGAACAGGTGGATTGTGGGAGGGAGGTGGTGATGGAAACAGGATCGGGTGGTATACCTAACACGTTTATACCATGGTGTTGAAGGGGAAACCGGGGTCAAGGGGAATGCAGATGGAGTTTATTCAGCGTGCAACAAGAACACAGGGAGGAGGATGTGGAGCAGTCTAGCGAGATGCTGTTCTGTGTAGAACAGATTTTGTTTTAGGCTGGGAAGTTTGGTTAAGAAAACGGATTGTTATTGACGAGAGGATGAAATTTTACGTTATCGTGGGGGGATTGGTGATCAAGAATACTGTATACAGTATTTTGATTTTCTATTTACACCCAACTTTACATAATTTGCCAGTCTACGAACATGTCTAAGTATAGCCCCATACATAATTAGTATTGGAGAGAATGAAACTTCTTGTTGGGTGCCTCAAGCCTTCTTTATCCTAACAGGAAAAAAATCATTAAAAATTATGGCCCTTCATTTCTTGATAAATGACAAGAAAAGGTAAAACGTATCGTTGAGTGACTTATTCTAATTTGATAGTGAATATCCTTATATCCTTATATGGTTCTAATGGGCCAAAAGTAACAACTTTCTGTCCCGACGAAGCTTCCACCAGTAAAACATATTTTGCAGTTAAATTCAGCTCACACTTCATATCACAGCTTATCCAGCACAAAGAACAAAAGCAAATAAGATATAATCACTGTTGCTTATTTTTAACACTTATCAGTATCTTGTTTGCCTATTATCACAGTCTCAATCATTGTACCGTTATTATAAGGGTAATTTGTCCCGTCCCCCTGAAGTGTATTTCACAAGGGTCATGGATGTCAAGCTGGATCCTCGATAACGTAACTGTATCGATGTCACTTACTTTTAGTTTCAACGTAGTAGCGAGGTCACACTCAAGTTATCCTTGTTCGAGAAAATAAGGTTTGTTCAAGTTTTGCGGGAGTTAAAATTGCGCAAGTGTTCTTCTCGGTACTTCTGGGGAGATACTAAGTGCAAGCTGCCGCCACCACCAGCCCCCACGCACTCTCATCTCAACCTGACCAGCCCAGCAACTCTGTGGACAGAGGGTGAAAGTTGACCCCGGACACTCGCACCCGCTCAGTACCTTGCTGCTGTTGACTGTATACTTAATTCTCTATGAATAAATTTTGAATTTTTATACAAACACACTCAGTGTTGAGTATAGCTATTTACTGATCATAATGCGATGTTTTTTTTTATTCGTGCCGATAAAACTCCACTTTCAAGGGGGTGTTCGTTTGTCCGTCCGTTAACAAGTAGTGTTTGCGAGGAAACTGTACTCGCGGCCCACACCTCGCCCACAGCCAGGTGTATATACCAAGTCTCCTGAAACTAAACTAATCACTGTTTTCTAACTAAAGATCATATAACATTTGATATAATATTATCTCCCTACAACAACTCCCCCCCCCCCTTTTATGACTCTTAAAATTAAATAATAAGATATTTAAAATATGCATTGAATAGGGCGAATTAACCGTTTTTATGGGCCTCTCTTGGGAAAACGGAACACTACACGGCAACAGATTTGGATGAATTTTGAAGGAAAGTCAGTTAGTACTATTATACTTTGCGGACAATTTATCACTATAGATAACTTCAGTATCTTGCGGCGTACGCTACTCACATCTATATGCAGTCGATTACTTATTTTATATTTTATATTTTTAATTTGGAGGGTGACCGTAGCAACAGCCTGTTAACAAAGTAACGGGCACGGGCCAGCTGAACAAGAAGACTATTCTAGCTTGGTAAGACGATGTTCCTCCCCGATTAACACTGGTCTGTTACTGACTGCATAAGAAACTGGTATGTACAAGTGAACGGCGGCTGTGACTGGTCCAGTAAAGTAGACCTTGCGATAGACTGGTTCAAGTCACTTGATATATAAAAAATATCAAATATATATGAGTTAGATTATATAGTAGAAGGAATATTTTTCACAAAGTACCGTAATGGACTTTGCCCGAAATATATTTACGCGAGTGCACCTTGCTACCACAAGATCTCGCTGACTGACTTAAAACAACAGGTATATTAGTAATCCTGCGGTGTATGTGAATAATAATTTTGTGTATACGAATAATTGTTTACCCATATTTTTAAATAAGTCCAATAATAATTTCAATATGTAATAATTATTTTATGAATATATCTATAGAATTATAATTATTTGGTTCAACTGTATATATTTTTCTTCAAAATAAGACATTCTTAATTATAATGAAATAATAAAATTAAAATTTACGTGAGAAAGATTTTCCCCAGTGCTTCGCGCGGCACATCCAGGAGGGAGAGGGGCAGTGTACAATACCGGATTACTCTGTTTACAAACTACACGTTCAGTCTGTAGAGGAGCATCAGGTTTCCGCTGTGGAGTAGTGATCTAACAAGGGTCACGGAGGTTTATGCGAGGAAGTCTCGGGCAGTGGACGAGGGTGTGGCTGTCTGGTCCCAAACATGGAGCACAGGCTAGTTGCTAGGAGTTGAAGTGGGGACATTATTCTTCTGGGCAAAGTCGTACTCAGAGATGATACGACTGTTTCTTTCCCGTAAACAAAGGAAAATTCAGAGAATCTGTGGAGTGGGGAGAAGAATGGCTCATTCACCAGCCTCTATGTGGCAAATTTTGGTCTATTTTAGTGCAACTTTTCGTAGGACGTCACAAGTATAGACTTGGTAGAACCGGTTTTGGTAAGGTTATCTGCTGCCTTATTCGTCGAGTTACTGACGTGACTGGGTATCTATTTGGAGGTCACAAGACGGTCCTTGTATGAGGAGGATGAGGTACTTATTCTCCCCTGATGCATTGAGCATCGACCTGGGTTAAAAGTAGAGAGCAAACGTATACTGAATTCTCTTCCTCATCGGAGGAGTAGCAAGGAGGGTACCAGTTCAACCTGTTAAGAGGATGTCTCGTTAGAAACTCAGTTTGTCAGAGTCTAAGCTCGGTTTAATGCCCTTGAGACGGGAGATGTAGACACCTGCCTCAGTCTTTCCTATAGTGGTTACCAGGGTCATCAGTGTAGAGGACGACCCAGCAATCCATCACTTCAATAGAAGCATTAGAGGATTACGTGTGGCATGAGCATGGTGTGTTGTTCTGATACATACTTTACGAATGACATGTGACACGTTAATTTTTCCTTTTCGAGACAAAGGCATATACCAGTTTTGTATAGACTTAATTACGATAATTTTTCATAATCTCAATTATTTTGACTGTCTATCTGTAGTCGAGTGCTTGTTCAAACTTTCATCAAGTACTGCACCAACGCGTGCAGGATGTCGAATGGTGGTGGACCTTGTTTTTTACTGACTGCCAGTCAGACGACCAGAATATGCAACGCATTTACGTCAGGGCTGGCGAGTTAACACAAGCCCTTTAAAATACAAATTGGACTTATTTTTCTGGCAATTGACAATGGCGTCTCTCAAGCACATCAAAACATTTTCTATATCCAATTAAGGACTATTTCAAAATGACACACTGTTAATTTAGCAATTTTTTTTAATAAACGTTAATGAGCTGGTGGAGTCCAACAGCCTAATGCAAGTGGATATATCGCTCGACACATACCTGAAGTGTTGCTGGTTCTGGTCAGGTGCTCTCTAGGTCTACCCTGCTGTGGGTGGGTACCTAAAACGTTACAATATCGCTCAACAAAAAAGTTGACATTAAAAAAATATTAAGTCATGGAAAAAACACCATCACGATAAAACATAAATTGCTAATGATGAAGCTAAATAATAAGGAATCGTAGCCATTTCTCTAAAAAAAATTATATATTTTTTTATTTTGGAACATTGAATATTATATGGTCAATTTGTAGTGTGTAATGTCTGCGCTTTGCATTTTGGCCAGCCACTTTTTTCCTCGGTTCTGCAGGCATAAATCCTTTTTTTTAACTCTAATAAATAATAATAACCAGTATACAGTTAAAACTTCAACTTTTTTCTATTTCTGAACAGCTAGAACAGTTGAAAGTCACCCTAAACCTCCACATTGCTATAAAAACTGTGTTGTTTCCTGTTACGTCCAAGACTGTTCGATGGACTGTCTAGAGCAGGGGTTCTCAACCAGGGGGGAATTTCCCTCCTCAGGTTTTCAGGGGGGAACTGATACTAATATGGAAAAATTAAAGGATTTTCAGTATTATATGCATATTATTTGGAATGCACTTTTTGAGGCAGACAATCTTGGAAAGGAGGGGGGAATGACATTCTGACATATGGTGAAAGGGGTGCATGGGGCAAACAAGGTTGAGAACCACTGGTCTAGAGTCTACACAGCATGCGGGTGTATTGTTTACGTCTGTGAGACCAATAAGTAGTATCATCACGGTACTCACTGGAGCAGCTTGGTGAGTGTTGAAGCTGTGGCTAAATTTGGGTAATTTGAATAACTGGTTTGGGTTGTAATTGGGTCCAACAGACCTGACCAGTCGAATATAGCGCACTCCTTCCATACACAAGGAACGGCGACCCTTTTAGGACGTGACATTGTATCAGCGCGGCCACTACCTCCTTTGTTTCTGTTATTATTAGGATAACTTAGTGTTTTTTTGTCCAACTTTCCACGTGGAGTTAAGGTAGTTTAGTGGTGGGTTATATCTTCCCTGATTAAGTTCTGGATGTAAAGACTGACTTGACTTCCTCGTGGATCATTAATTTTCTAAGTGATATCTGGTAGTCTTAAATTATGACGTCATTGACTTTCAAATTAAGAAAAAACAGATGTGTAACTTATTTTTAAGTTGATAAATTAAATCCCTCGTGTATAGTCAGGCCGTCATGACCTGCGTGGCTGATGACGTCACAGCAGTGGCCTAGATAGTTAAGTGGTAAAAAGTAACTCTAGACAGACCAATTTTATAAGTGACACTTAAGGTCTCAAGTGTAATTTTAATTAATTCGCGCCAGGAAATTCGCGAAGCGTTCTAGCATATTTAAAATTTATTTAATTTTTTTTCCAAGATCCGCAAAAAACTACGAGATTTGAATGATTGATAATGTTACTAGAAAGCGGAAAGAAAGTGGAGACAGTCGGTGCCAAATTTCTTAAATATATCTATGAGACAGCCATTTTAAGCTGCAGTTATAATGGATGATTTTACACAGAAGCTTGAACAAGAAGAACAAGCAACTGACACTGTTCCAAATCCTGTTTAGCTTCGGGCAGTTCTCGACGGCAGGGCGGGAACAACACTAAGCAAATCAAAATAATAGTATCCCCTGAAATTAATCCAAATTAAATGAAATCCCCATAGTAGTGTGTGTGTGAGCGGTAGTGCAAAAGGATTACAGAGTAGAGTTCACAAAGGGTCTGAATAATTATAACCCCAGTGGTCAGCTATATCATGGCATTGAATGTTACATAGTATTTCAAATAAATTCTTTGTTTAGTTCTGCATGTACTTATTCGCAACTGTGCGTACAGGAGTGTGAGGCAATATGTTTGGCCGCACACTTTGTTACTCACATTTGCTTGAGAGGTATTCAAACACATCGTGTGTTTGGTTTTATACATGGGAGCTGATGTAGCTACTGAGTGCAAAAAAAGTGGATACAGTCTTAATATGTCGGCTATCTTGCCATTACAGGTAAAGTGTTGTGCTATGTCACACACAGTGTGCTTGAACCTGTCCCTAAAAGGTATATCTTCACACAGTCGAGGACGTAGTTTTCGAGTATGTGGCCATATGTCTGGCCACACACTTTACATTTGTGTCTTGCTCACATCTGCTTGGGGGATATACTGCCAGAGGTACTTATATCCTGACGTTAGTCGAGCGGTTACAACATCTTGTAATCTAGTGATCTTGTTACTTGCTCCGTATACAGTACATGTTTCACTTGATACATTTCATTATGGTAAACAATAGATTGACTAATGCCTGTTTGCACGTGTGTGTGTGTGTGTGTGTGTGTGTGTGTGTGTGTGTGTGTGTGTGTGTGTGTGTGTGTGTGTGTGTGTGTGTGTGTGTGTGTGTGTGTGTGTGTGTGTGTAGAAGTCATTGCTGGTTAACTTGTTCACTGGACTCATTAACTCCGTGTTCAATGGATTCTGTGCCCTTAATATTTACAGGCGCCGTGTTGTCCTTGAACAAAGTCGATCACCCACACTCTCTCTTGGCCAGGCAGCGCCTATGCACTCAATCACACTCACACTATTTAACACACAACTAGAGCTTGTAACCCTTCTATACACACACACACACACACACACACACACACACACACACACACACACACTCTACTGCCACTTTGCTGTCACTCGGAATCGAGTATGACGATCATCCAGCTGTGATGCAATTAAATCAGTTATTAAGGATGTCACCTACGTTGGTGAGTTCTGAGGTGACTAAAGAGGCCGATACGGGACCGACTTCGTTCACAGACGTTGCACATGTGAAGGGCTACATTTGGTGCGGGAGGGGCAGCGGCAGCATCTTTCCGGCGCTGATGCTTGTCTGCCTTGGTTTGCAGTCGGGCTAACTCGAAAGTATTGACACCTTCTTGTGTGGTGCTCCTCCAAGCGTTACGGTGTGGAGTAATCGTCTCTCAGGTGAGGGGGTCGATTTGGCTCTTTTTCAGGCTTGTCTTAAGACTAGCCTTATACATTTACAGTTGCCCGCCAGGGTTACGTTTACTATTCGTGAGGTGACTGTAAAGTAGCTGCTTTGACAGTCTACTGTCGTCCATGCGGATAACATGGCCAGTCCAACGTAGTTGTTCATGGATAATGGTAGCCTCGATGCTCGTACAGTTGGTGTCAGCGAGAATACTGGCATTTGTTCTCTTGTCTTCCCAGCGAACTCGGAGGATGGAACGTAGACTTTGTTGGTGAAAGTTTTCAAGTGCCTTGAGGTACCTCCTGTATGTAACCCATGTCTCACTGCCCTATAGCAGGGTGGGGAGGACCACTGCTCGAAATATGTGCAACTTTGTGGATAATTTCCGCTCCCTACAACTGAAGACACGGGTACAGAGTCTGCCAAAGGCTTAAGATGCGATCTGATCAGATGTTGAATCTCTTCATCGATGTCCGCAATGGTGGACTGGTGGGAACCGAGATACCGAAAGTGGGTAACATTAGAGAGGGTAGTGCCGTGAGGCTGGATGGATGATGGAGGTGTGGCTGAACCAGGGGCAGGTTGAAGGAGAATCTGAGTCTTATGTACATTCACCTCAAGGTCGAAGTGTGCATACGCATCTGGGTAGGTGTTCAGGATCTCCTGTAGGTCGCGCTCAGTGTGAGCGGCAAGGGTTAGGTCGTCTGCATACTGAAGTTCAGTAATGGAAGTTGCCGACACCTTTGTTCCTGCCTACAGTCGTCTTATATTGAAAACGCCCTTCATCCGGTACTCGATGTCCACCCTACCGGCTAAATTGGCACTGGCACAAGTAAGGAAGGCAGCCAAGAAAGTGGAAAAAAGCGTTGGTGCCAGTACACATCCTTGTTTTACCTCCATTTGGATGGGGAAGAACTAAGACTGGGTGCCTCACAATGGCGATGAATTTTGGTGGCCAGCCAAAACGGCTGAGGGTCTGCCAGAGGGCTTCCCTATTGACCGAGTCGAAGGCCTTGGTTAGGTCGATGAAGGCCATGTACAGGTCATGGCGCTGTACTCTGCACTTTTACTGTATCTGACGGGCAGGAAAGATCATGTCAGTGGTGCCACGTGATGGTCTAAAGCCACGTTGAGACTCTGGGAGGAAATTTTCCGCCCCAGGAAGAAGTCTGTTTCGAAGGAATCGGGCGATAATCTTGCCAGCTATGGACAGCAGCAAGATCCCGCGGTAGTTGCCACAGTCTGACCGGTCTCCTTTTTTCTTATAAATATTGACGATGGAGGCGTCTTTAAGAGCTTGGGGGATTTCCTCCTTTTCCCATATATTCTCCAGGAGAGAGTGGAGACTGGTTGTAAGCAAAGTTCTCCTGCTTTATACAGCTCTGCTGGGATTACATCAGGCCCTGAGGCTTTGTTATTTTTCATTTGTTTGATGGCAGTAGCTACCTCATCCAGGGATCGAGGATAGCCGAGGTGGATCAGCTCTGGATGCTGAGGGACCTGCTGGGTAGTCAGGACATCCACATCAGTGTTTCGGTTGAGCAGTGAATGGTAGCGCTCTTTCCAGCATTGAAGGAAGCCTTCATCGTCTTTAATTATGGAGTTATCGTCGAATGAGCAGAGGGGGGCTGCGCCATGAGTGATTGGCTCATAAAATGTCTTAATGGAATTGAAAAATCTGCGCATCTTGTACTGATCTGCAAGTTTTTGTGTTTCACATGCTTTATTTTTAAAACAGTCGTTCTTTAGACTGCAAAGTTCCCGTTGCGCCGCTGCCGCTTTCTTCTTGCTGAAGGTATCAGATTTGGTCCGAGACTAAGGGTTGTTCTGCCCGTCAGTTACAGCAGCACGTTTATCATCGACGAGTACATTGATTTCCGATTCATTTTTATGAAAGCAGTCCTGCTGTACTCTTTCGATCTGGCCGAGGGTCTCTGCAGGTTTTTGTCTTGACAGTGTCGAGAAGATCCCATACACACACACACACACACGGACAGACGGACTAACGGAGTGGATTATTCACATTTTATCAGTTTATTTACAAAGTGTTTCTTGTTACCTGTTGTTTTAGCTAATGATTGATTTGTTTACATTCTATAAATGGCAAATTTTCTTATAATGACTTAGAGGTTAATTAAATACAATTCTCCGAGAACTATTGTTTAATAAAATACAATACCTCACAAAACAGTCAAATAAAACAGAAATATTATAAAATTCTGCATAAACACAATAATTGATTCAAAACTAAGTAAATCTCATAACACACAAACAAGGTAAAGTAAAGTCAAAGTAAACTCAGCTACATTATTTACTTACTTAATAAAAGAGGAAAGAGTTTAGAAAATCTTACTCTACTTTTCTTTACGTCTTGCCTAGGAAGGATTGAGTAAGCTGCCTGCCTCCCTTGTAAGTAAAATGTTCACCTTAAAGATTAGCCGCCACCCAGCTTATTTCACCTTAAGATTAAACGCTACCTAGGGTAAGGGTTAGGTTAGGTTAGGGTACGGGGATGGATGGATGACAGTTGTAGATGGCGGGAGAAGAAATGAAAATAAGAAGGTACAAGATGAAAGAGAAGAAAATGTTGATAGGCAGAAGAAATGATTAAGAGGAAGAAGAAAATGTTGACGAAGAAAAAAGAATGTTGAAGAAGGAGACAATGTTGAAGAGGAAGGAGAAACCTAGAGGAAGAAACAAAAGAAGAGGAAGAGAATGTTGAAGAAGAATAAGATTACAATGTTGAAGATGAAGAAAAACCTAGAGGAGGAAGCAAAAGAAGAGAAAGAGAATGTTGAAGAAGATATCAATCAATCGTCTACTCAAACAAGAGGACGTCATACAGTAATTATCAAGGACCGAAAACACAAGAGGGTCATGATAGTGTTCTCCAGTACATGGTGTCTACGGACGTTTTAATATGGCGGTTGTATATCGTTTACTTCATACACTTCTTACACAAACTCTTCCTCCACTGCTGCTTGTGTCTGTCTTGTGTCTAGCTGTAGCAGGATATCACACCTTATCTCGGTGGGGTGGTAGTGCTTGAGGTGGTGGTTGAAGGAGTCGTACTGGTGGTAGTGGAGCTTGTAGTAGTAGTAGTAGAGGGTGTTGTAGTAGTTGAAGTAGTAGTAGAGGGTGTTGTAGTAGTTGAAGTAGTAGTAGAGGGTGTTGTAGTAGTTGAAGTACTAGTAGAGGGTGTTGTGGTCGTAGTTGAAGTAGTTGTAGTAGTAGGGGTGGTAGTAGAGGTCGTCGTAGTAGTATCATCTACACACATCTCTTGGCTTGGTCTGGGTCGTTCTCTGCTTCTTGGTCGTGGTCTCCTCTCTCTACTCCCTGGTCTTCTCCCTCTCTTCGGCTTGCATTTCTTCTCCTTGCTGCGTTCTCTCTGAAACACACACATGAATTATATCTTATTGAGCAAGTTGAAAAGTTAGCTATTCTGGGCCTCTTCTTCTTCTACTAGAACTGTTGCCATTACTACCACTTCTTACTGCTACTGCTAATACTACTACTACTATTTTTATTACTGCTACTATACTACTACTTATAGCCATACCTTCGCCACCATTTTATTACCTTAAAATTAAATATCCTAATACAAAAGTAGCTATCTTAGCTGTTTTGAGTTAGTTGAGCGGCAGATTTATGCGACATTCAGTGACCGTTGCCTCATAGTCAATATCTGCAACTGTTGTCGACTTTGGGGCCGATGCTCTCGTTCCCCTGAGGCAGAGCAAAGCCAACCTAAGGAGAGAGAAGGACAGTCGACATCTCATCCAGGCTGTAGTATAACTTCTGGGCTGCTGCTTTTGTTCGGATAGCACCTCTGTGAGTCTGGCTTGGAAGCATCTTGCACTTGGTCCCATCCTACCAGAGGTTGTGAACACTAGAGAAGTGAAGCTGCCTTGATCAACGTTCTGAATTCTCTCCCCGTATGCCCTTATCTTGTCGTTCTCGTTCCTCCTGTAGTTACTACTACTTTTCCTATTACTACTGCTACTAGTACTACTAGTACTATTACTACCATATTTTCTACTTCTACTACTAGTACTACTACTTTTGCTATTGCTACCATTTTACTACTACTATTGTTTTTGCTACCACTCCTACTATTTTACTACTATTGCTATTATTACTGCTATTACTACTATACAACAACTCCTACTACTACTACTTACTACTACTAATCTTATTGATCAAATTGAAAGGTTAGGTTACACTAAACACACACGCACACACCAAGGATAAACAGTCATGTGTATATTTGGGTCACAAGCTATAGACCAGTATCAGTAACTATCACATATTAAAATTATTACTACTACTTCTACTTACCTCATGGCTTTTTCTTCGCGCCATTCGCTTCTGTCGGTCTTCTCTACTTTCATTGCTTGTCACATCTGTAATCTTCCCCTCCTCCTCTTCCTCATTACTCAGTTGTGTCTCCCTGTTGTCTCTTTTTGCCAGACTTTTCTGTAGAGAGAAGAGAACAATCACTTACTTTCCCTACTACAACACTGCAGGCATGGACAGGTAAACTCAAATCACTTTCTCTACGGCAGAACACAGGTATAGACAGGTAAACTCAGTCACTTTCTCTAGGACAGGACACGGCAGGTACAGACAGGTTTCTCTAGGCAAGGACACGGCAAGTACAGAGAGGTTAACTTAGTCACTTTCTCTAGGACAGGACACGGCAAGTACAGAGAGGTTAACTTAGTCACTTTCTATAGGACAGGACACGGCAGGTACAGAAAGGTTTCTCTAGGCAAGGACACGGCAAGTACAGAGAGGTTAACTTAGTCACTTTCTCTAGGACAGGACACGGCAAGTACAGAGAGGTTAACTTAGTCACTTTCTATAGGACAGGACAAGGCAGGTACAGAAAGGTCAACTCAGTCACTTTCTCTACGACAGGACACAAGCATTGACAGGTAATAGGCAGGTCAGGTATGTAACGGTGTTTTAATATTTACAAGACTGAGAGCATGCGTTGTGGTGTGGGTGTTATAACTCTCTCTCTCTCTCTCTCAACACAGACACTGATTTATTTGGACACATACCTTCAATCATGAATTTAGAGGGAAGAGAGAGAGAGAGAGAGAGAGAGAGAGAGAGAGAGAGAGAGAGAGAGAGAAATCATACCTTGGTATTTCTGGGGTAACGGAGCAGTGTTTCCTCTGTTAGGTCGGTGTTGCCATCCAGTGAGTTCTCCTGAACCTCGTACAACAGCCTGGGTGGGAGAGACGCCGCTGAGGTTTACACATTTCAGAATTTGCCACGACTCCTGAACTAAGGTCAAAACGGGTCACCTATCCTAACCTGACTTGACCTAACCTAATCTGACCTGACCTATCCTAACCTGATCTGACCTATCCTAACCTGATCTGACCTATCCTAACTTCATCCGACCTGACCTCATTTAACCTGACCTAACCTCATTTAACCTACCCTGAACTACGCTGATCTAGCTTAACCTACCCTAACCTCATCTGACCTACTCTTATATAACCTAATTCAATCTAATGTAACAACCTAACCTAATATGACCTCACTTAACCTCACCTTACCGTCCCCCACACCACCTGGCCATCCTCCCCACCACCTGGCCATCCTCCACACCACCTGGCCATCCTCCCCACCACCTGGCCATCCTCCACACCACCTGGGCCATCCTCCACCACCTGGCCATCCTCCACACCACCTGGCATCCTCCACACCACCTGGCCATCCCTCCCCACCACCTGGCCATCCTCCCCACCACCTGGCCATCCTCCCCACCACCTGGCCATCCTCCCCACCACCTGGCCATCTCTCTTCCCTGGCCATACATTATTTTTCTTCTCTTTTCTCGCCTTTTATTTTTATTATATACCTGATGGATCAGTTTGTCTTGTTTACTTTCACTTCACTTGGTTTTAATGCATGTAAGTTATATGACTTGAATTTCTTAAAAAAAAAAATTAATGTTAACAAGTTATTCATGTTTTTTTTTTATGGTGTTAAATTGAACTTGAGGTGATGTTTATATTGTAAGATGTATGTTAATATTATGTAAGGTAGTTGATTTATTAAGCTTATTGTAGAGTTGATCCCAGCTTAGTAAAACGGGGAGGGGTTGTTTGAATCAGCTGTCTGTAGTGATCTGTTAACACATAGGAAAGAGTTGAGGCATTAGTGTGGCTCCTTAGTGTCAGACTCAGTATTGACACATGTGGAAGAGTTGAGGCATTAGTGTGGCTCCTTAGTGTCAGACTCAGTATTGACACATATGGAAGAGTTGGGACATTAGTGTGGCTCCTTAGTGTCAGACTCAGTATTGACACATATGGAAGAGTTGGGCATTAGTGTGGCAGTATTGACACATATGGAAGAGTTGAGGCATTAGTGTGGCTCTGAGTGTCAGACTCAGTATTGACACATATGGAAGAGTTGAGGCATTAGTGTGGCAGTGTCCTCAGTATTGACATCATGAGTGTCAGACTCAGTATTGACACATATGGAAGAGTTGAGGCATTAGTGTGGCTCCTTAGTGTCAGACTCAGTATTGACACATATGGAAGAGTTGAGGCATTAGTGTGGCTCCTTAGTGTCAGACTCAGTATTGACACATATGGAAGAGTTGGGACATTAGTGTGGCTCCTTAGTGTCAGACTCAGTATTGACACATGTGGAAGAGTTGGGACATTAGTGTGGCTCCTTAGTGTCAGACTCAGTATTGACACATGTGGAAGAGTTGGGCATTAGTGTGGCTCCTTAGTGTCAGACTCAGTATTGACACATGTGGAAGAGTTGGGACATTAGTGTGGCTCCTTAGTGTCAGACTCAGTATTGACACATATGGAAGAGTTGAGGCATTAGTGTGGCTCTTTAGTGTCAGACTCAGTATTGACACATATGGAAGAGTTGAGGCATTAGTGTGGCTCCTTAGTGTCAGACTCAGTATTGACACATGTGGAAGAGTTGAGGCATTAGTGTGGCTCCTTAGTGTCAGACTCAGTATTGACACATATGGAAGAGTTGAGGCATTAGTGTGGCTCCTTAGTGTCAGACTCAGTATTGACACATATGGAAGAGTTGAGGCATTAGTGTGGCTCCTTAGTGTCAGACTCAGTATTGACACATATGGAAGAGTTGGGACATTAGTGTGGCTTCTTAGTGTCAGACTCAGTATTGACACATGTGGAAGAGTTGGGACATTAGTGTGGCTCCTTAGTGTCAGACTCAGTAGTGACACATATGGAAGAGTTGAGGCATTAGTGTGGCTCCTTAGTGTCAGACTCAGTATTGACACATGTGGAAGAGTTGGGACATTAGTGTGGCTCCTTAGTGTCAGACTCAGTATTGACACATATGGAAGAGTTGGGATATTAGTGTGGCTCCTTAGTGTCAGACTCAGTATTGACACATGTGGAAGAGTTGAGGCATTAGTGTGGCTCCTTAGTGTCAGACTCAGTATTGACACATATGGAAAGTTGAGTATTAGTGTGGCTCCTTAGGTGTCAGACTCAGTATTGACACATATGGAAGAGTTGGAGGCATTAGTGTGGCTCCTCAGTGTCAGACTCAGTATTGACACATGTGGAAGAGTTGAGGCATTAGTGTGGCTCCTTAGTGTCAGACTCAGTATTGACACATATGGAAGAGTTGGGATATTAGTGTGGCTCCTTAGTGTCAGACTCAGTATTGACACATGTGGAAGAGTTGAGGCATTAGTGTGGCTCTTTAGTGTCAGACTCAGTATTGACACATGTGGAAGAGTTGAGGCATTAGTGTGGCTCCTTAGTGTCAGACTCAGTATTGACACATATGGAAGAGTTGAGGCATTAGTGTGGCTCCTTAGTGTCAGACTCAGTATTGACACATATGGAAGAGTTGAGGCATTAGTGTGGCTCCTTAGTGTCAGACTCAGTATTGACACATATGGAAGAGTTGAGGCATTAGTGTGGCTCCTCAGTGTCATCCTCTCATTAAGATAACGAGCCAACGACCTGTCTCCCTCCTCCCTAGACACACAAAATCTAACCACCCTTGACGGTGTTGTTGGCAGTGATAACACTGTATAACTGTATATATACGACATATCATCATCATCATCGTCTGGCCCTCTTTCCCCCCACACCACTTTCACCTCTCACCAAACACTATCACCACCGGAGTCCATGTAACTGATAACATTCATTCTTGTCAAAAAACGTTCCTCTGAATTGTGTTTTTTTTTTCTCTTACAAAACGAAGACACAGTGGCTATCTTAACTCTCTCTCTCTCTCTCTCTCTCTCTCTCTCTCTCTCTCTCTCTGTATAACGTGGGTGTCATCGACGAACACTGGATGTAACTTAAAGGTGAAGGGCGTCACACTCACACACACACACACACACACACACACACACTACATACTGTGACAATGGTTAGTATCTATCGCTATCTTCTGCCTCGAGTGACTTAGTGTCTTATGATGTGTGCTTGAAGGGATGTAGTTCGTCCTCGAGTACAATAAGGTGATGTAGTGTTTGTTCTCGGATATAGGGACTTCTTCATCTCCTCCTCCTCTTCCTCATCCGCCTCCTCTTCCTCTATTTTATATTCTTCTTCATTTTCCTCCTCTTCCTTTATCTCGACTTCCTCCTTTCCCTTCTCCCTCTCCTCCTCTTTTTCTTCTTTTTCATTTTCCTTCTCCTCCTCCACTTCATCCACCTCCTCCTCCACCACCACTTACTCCTTCACTTCATCCTCCTCCTCCTTCTCCTCCTAGCTCCAGGGTCGTACCTAGAGAGCTGGTCGTCCTCCTCCCCAGACTCCCACATCGGGGTATTGTATTCATTAGGTCGTTGCAACAACTGGTCCAACTTGAACACCGTTTGCCACAGTGACGAGCCATCTGCCACGTCACCACCACCTGTCCTCTGACCCACCTGAGGAAGTGACAGTAATTAATAGTATAAACGGTGAGAAACAGTGATTAAGATAAACTGTTCAGATAATAATAATAGTAATATAAATACTACTACAACTACTACTAATATATACTCCACAACACCTAAAAACATATACAATAGTCACATACATATTACATAGTACCTACATATCATATTTATCCTTAGTACCTACATATTATATTTAACCTCGCCTAGAAATATATTAGTTTACACGTCTTTTAAAACATTGTATTGTATTCCTAAAAAAACAACACAAATATCAGATATCGTAACACAATAGTGAATAAAAGACAATAGTAAACAAAACTGGAAGAAAAATAATAAAAATAATAACCATCTCGTGAAAGTTCTACCTCTTTAAAATTTCTTCTTTCTTGCATTGTTATGTTTTTACCTATGCTGTGACGTCATATCCTTTTTTGATAACGTCACTGCCTGTGTGCTACAAAATACGGGTATTGTATATAAAGAACTAATGTTTTATGTATACATCTATTTTAATATGTATACATGTGTTTTGTTATGTGCATATTTCATTTAACATGTGCACATCTCTTCAGTGGACGAACCTCTTGAATACGTACACAACTCTTAAATACGTACACACCTCTTAAATACGTACACACCTCTTAAATTCGTACACATCTCTCATACGTACACATCTCTTAAATACGTACACACCTCTTAAATACGTACACATCTCTCATACGTACACATCTCTTAAATACGTACATACCTCTCAAATACGTACACACCTCTTAAATACGTACACACCTCTTCAATTAACACACCTTGCTTATTATCATCTCGCCTTAAGACATTCTGGTTTGTTTACTTTTCTCCTCGTTAACTACATGACTCGGCATAACTCGTGACCTTTATGTTGCTGATAAGAGTTCAAGCTGGTTAACGCACTAGGGAGGCATTTATTAGGGGTCATTATAGTTCTGGTGGCACTCTGAGTTGTTTAGTGCCACGTGGTCAGTTCCTTGGCACTGTGAGTATCTTAAATGCCACGTGATCATATTTTTGGCACTGTGGGTATCTTTAGTGCCACGTGGTCAGTTCCTTGGCACTGTGAGTATCTTAAATGCCACGTGATCATATTTTTGGCACTGTGGGTATCTTTAGTGCCACGTGGTTAGTTCCTTGGCACTGTGAGTATCTTAGTGCCACGTGATCATATTTTTGGCACAGTGGGTATCTTTAGTGCCACTTGGTCAGTTCCTTGGCACTCTGAGTATCTTTAGTGCCACGTGATCATATTTTTGGCACAGTGGGTATCTTTAGTGCCACGTGGTTAGTTCCTTGGCACTCTGAGTATCTTTAGTGCCACGTGATCATATTTTTGGCACAGTGGGTATCTTTAGTGCCACTTGGTCAGTTCCTTGGCACTGTGGGTATCTTTAGTGCCACGTGGTCGCTCGCTCACATGTTTGGTATTGGCCCCTAAATACAGTACCTCCAGGTGTCACTATGCTCGGCCCAGAAAATTATCCAGGGTGATCGAGAAGTCCTTGTGCACCTACAACTATTACGGATATTCTTATTTACCTTGTTCTAGTTACAGAAAATGCAGGTATAACAAGGAACACCTCTATTGATAATTATCGACAGGTGCACAGTGACTTTTCGATCACTGTGTAATGTTCTCGTGAGATTAGTCCCAATATGGCCGACCAACACGTCAGTAATTCAACTATTTTTTTTTTAAGTAAACTTGGGTTAACTTTCCTCCAAACCATTAATCATTATTTTGAATGAGAGAGAGAGAGAGAGAGAGAGATCTTACGGTTCTAATCCTCACAAGATGGCTACCCAATCCCCAATCACATTTTCATGATGGTACATAAACCGTCAACATCAGGTTTCACTTTAATCGGTTCAGTGATTCCAACGGTGAAAAAAAAAATATTTCAGATCTCTAGAACGTTTCGGTAGAATTAAATGTTATATATTACCACTATGTAAAAACATTATAGTGACTCTTAAGACAGTTGGTGAGAGTGTTACAAGGTTCATAAGTAAATCATCTCACTTGGTTCCGTCTAGTAGTTCAGGAGGTGATGGTTATTATAACAATGTGGGAAAATCAAATGTGTCTATATTGTGTGGTTTTGAACTTGACATAATTCACATTTAGTAAAACAAAAAAGACATCAATCACTTGGGAAAAAATTTAAATTTCTTTCCATGAGTCTTACTGGATGGCAGAGTGTAGCTTTGTTGTTATACCGCAGTTCAAATTAAGAAAGAAATTTCTTAAATGTTTATTCAATGATAGCCATGTTTTGAATGGAGACAGTGGTAAGTGGTTAAACACACTTAACTGGTTCTCGATCATTTAAGATTCTTTGAAACCTTCTCTCTTGGTAAAATCATTGATAATATTCTATGCAATGGAATAGCTAAACCCCTTTAGCTTATTCCATTGCATTTAATATTGATGTAGAAGTATATAATCACCCCCGTCAAGTCTCAGAAAGAATTTATTGAAGTCAGAATATGTTTTCCTTTGTTTTAAAATTTGATGTGTGACAGAAAGGCTTATTGCATTTATTGAGTCACATCAGTAACGTTGAGAGAGCTTTCAGTTGTTTAAAGGGAGTCCTGTCTCAGGGAACTTCAACAACATTTTCTGAAGGAGAAACATAGAAAATCTTCAATAATGGAAATTTTTTTAGCAAACACAAACTTATGAGCCTTAATCAGATTAGGTTAGGTTCTTTTTTGTTATGTATTTAATTCCACATTTTCCCACTGCTTCAAAGACCTGTACACCTTTGGTGGGATCATCATTGACAGGGTATGAAGGCTCATAACACAAAACAGTAATAATGCATCTTCCCAAGTGAATCTTTTCAGTGCTTCCCAATCAAATATAAAATATTGGGCTAGGTTAGGCTGTTCTTTTTAATTATTTATAAAAACAATTACCACGTTGGAAACAGCTTCTTGTCCGATTAGCGAAGGTAAGCAACGTTGGGTCTGGTCAGTACTTGGATGGGTGACACTACTGCTACTATAATAAATTAGCATCACTATACAGCTTCACAAGACCACACATACCTTGTCGAGGGCAAGTTGAACTATGGGTGGCAGTGGGTGTTGGAGAGGGGCGGCATTGGTGAGAGTGTTGATGGCCGCCCATGCCGCCAACACCACCAGCGTGAGGACCTCACCCACCCTAGTCATCACTCCTGTGGGAGATGAGTGAGCGTGAAGAAGGTATTCGTATATACAGATGTGAATGATGTCAATTTTTTTTTGAGTCAGAGAAATACGCACAACGATGTCATTTTTAGGTGTTAAATAATAGTAATAATTCGTGTGTTCACCTAACACTAACCTAACGCTAACCTTATTTAATTTAACGATAACCTAATTTAACTTAACCCTCAAGATAACATTACGGTGTTTAAACCATCAGGTGAAATAATCTGAGGGGGACTAATCTTCATGTGAGCTGGTATGGCAAACAGAGGGAACACTTAATACGTTTGAGAATTATAATGAACGAAAATGACTTAAGACGTTCGAAGAGTCATATTGGTGGATCCTTCTATTTTATTTTAACAAGTAACACACAGTAGAAAGTTACAAGTAGTGATTAATGGATATAAATAATGAAATAATATCAAATACTCGATAATATTACTTAAATCAGAGAGTGAGAAAATATATAAGAAAAACTAGTTGTCGGGTTAATATAAAAAAGTGAAAAATATTTACTAAAAAATTAATGTTATAGAGATTCAAGTTGATTTTGTTTATAAATTAGAAAAATAAAATTGATTCTGAAATAACAACAATATTATGATGACAAAAGTTAAAACTGTAATTTTTGTGTACTGTATATGTTAAGTTAGGACGCTATAAGATAACTTCTTTTACTAAAGCTATTTCAGGCTAACAGGTATAACTCAGAGTAAACCTTTCACACTTCAGCTATACGAGGCTAATAGTTTTAGCTTTAAGTCTCGGTTTCTTTTCACACAGTGGGTGTTGCCATATCATAGGAGTGGCACAGTGGGTGTTGCCATATCGTAGGAGTGGCACAGTGGGTGTTGCCATATCGTAGGAGTGGCACAGTGGGTGTTGCCATATCATAGGAGGAGTGGCACAGTGGGTGTTGCCATATTATTTGAGTGGCACAGTGGGTGTTGCCATATCATAGGAGGAGTGGCACAGTGGGTGTTGCCATATTATATGAGTGGCACAGTGGGTGTTGCCATATCATAGGAGTGGCACAGTGGGTGTTGCCATATTATTTGAGTGGCACAGTGGGTGTTGCCATATCATAGGAGGAGTGGCACAGTGGGTGTTGCCATATCATAGGAGTGGCACAGTGGGTGTTGCCATATCAATATTACTAGTAACGATGTGCTTAAAGTAATTAACAAACTGAAGCCTCATAAATCGCCTGGTCCAGACGAGGTATATGCTAGAATATTAAAAGAATGTAGAGATGAGTTGAGAAATCCATTAGCAGTTTTATTTAATAAGTCATTAGAATCGGGCCTAGTGCCAGAAGCTTGGAAACTTGCAAATGTAGTTCCGATTTTCAAAAAGGTGATAAATCAATAGCATCAAATTACCGTCCCATTAGTCTCACGTCAATCATAGGCAAGTTGCTAGAGTCAATTATTGCTACAAAATCAGAAGCCACCTTGAAACATTCAACTTAATTCATTCTTCTCAGCACGGGTTCACCCAGGGACGTTCTTGTCTTACAAATTTGCTTAGCTTTTTCTCAGAAGTATTTGAAGCGGTAGATAATGATAAGTCATATGATATAATTTATTTAGATTTCAGTAAAGCATTCGATAGAGTCCCTCATGAGAGATTGATAAGGAAGGTAGAAGCACATGGAATAGGTGGATCAGTATTAAAATGGATTAGGTCATGGTTAACTGGTAGGAAACAAATAGTCAGCATAAATGGATTAAAGTCAGACTGGGGTGCGGTCAAAAGCGGAGTTCTGAGGGATCTGTATTAGGCCCTCACTGTTTGTTATATTCATTAATGATCACTGATTTAGAGCTTCTTCTAGTAGGATTAGTAAATTTGCAGATGATACCAAAATGGGGAAAGTGATAAATTCAGACAGTGACTTTGAACACCTTCAAAGAGATCTAGATACCTTACATGAGTGGTCAGTAGACTGGCAAATGAATTTTAATACTGATAAATGCAAGGTACTACAGATAGGGAAGACGAATACAAACGTTAAGTATAAACTAGGTAACACTGAAATAGAAAACTCGGTTTGTGAAAAAGATCTAGGTGTATTTGTTAACAACGACTTGAAACCTAGAAAACAATGTATTAGCGTTCGCAACAAGGCAAACAGGATTCTTGGGTTCATATCTAGATCTGTGAGTAACAGAACTGCTGACGTTATCTTGAAACTTTACCTAGCATTAGTGAGGCCACACATGGATTATGCGGTTCAGTTCTGGTGTCCTTATTATAGAATGGACATAGATTCTTTGGAGAGTACAAAGAAGAATGACAAAAATGATCCATAATATTAGAAACCTTCCATATGAAGAAAGACTGAGAAAAGCTTGGAAACTACATTCATTAGAGAGGCTATGGGGTTAAGGAGATATGATAAGTGTACAAGTGGGTAAATTAGGATTAACAAGGGTAAAATGGAAGATGTTTCTGAAGCTCAGTAATAACGAAATAACTAGAAAAAATGGCTTTAAATTAGATAAATTCCGATTCAGAAAGGATATAGGCAAGCACTGGTTTGGTAATAGAGTTGTGGATATGTGGAATAGACTACCGAGTGCTATAGTAGGATCGGGGACGCTAGGGAGCTTCAAGACGAAGTTGGATAGGCACATGGAAGTGCTGGGATGGGTGTGAAAGGGATCCGCCCTGTATGGGCCAGTCGGCCTCCTGCAGTATCCCACTTTCTTATGTTCTTATGTTATTGTTCTTATATTATTTGAGTGGCACAGTGGGTGTTGCCATATTATATGAGGAGTGGCACAGTGGGTGTTGCCATATAATAGGAGGAGTGGCACAGTGGGTGTTGCCATATCATAGGAGGAGTGGCACAGTGGGTGTTGCCATATTATATGAGGAGTGGCACAGTGGGTGTTGCCATATCATAGGAGTGGCACAGTGGGTGTTGCCATATTATTTGAGTGGCACAGTGGGTGTTGCCATATCATAGGAGGAGTGGCACAGTGGGTGTTGCATATCCTTAGGAGAGTGGCACAGTGGGTGTTGCCATATTATATGGGAGTGGCACAGTGGGTGTTGCCTCATCATAGAATTAGCACAGTGGGTGTTGCCATATTATATGAGGAGTGGCACAGTGGGTGTTGCCATGTATCATAGGAGGAGTGGCACAGTGGGTGTTGCCATATCATAGGAGGAGTGGCACAGTGGGTGTTGCCATATTATATGAGTGGCACAGTGGGTGTTGCCTGTATCATAGGGTAGCACAGTGGGTGTTGCCATATTATTTGAAGTGGCACAGTGGGTGTTGCCATATCATAGGAGGAGTGGCACAGTGGGTGTTGCCATATCATGGGAGGTGGCACAGTGGTGTTGCCATATTATATGAAGTGGCACAGTGGTGTTGCCATATCATAGGAGTGGCACAGTGGGTGTGCCATATTATTTAGTGGCACAGTGGGTGTTGCCATATCATAGGAGGAGTGGCACAGTGGGTGTGCCATATCATGGGAGAGTGGCACAGTGGGTGTTGCCATATCATGGGGGAGTGACACCATGAACACCATAAATATATTCAAGTCATAGACAGGACACTGAATCTGCACCATAAAAGTTACCTGAATAAGTAAAACGCGTTCTCTTACCTGTGACAGGGGGGGTGGAGGGAGGGAGGAGGAGGAGACAGAGGGGGAGAGGGAAGTAGAAAATAAGGAGAGATAGGGGAAGGGAGAGGGGGAAGAAGTAAAGAAGGAGGAGATAGGAAAGGAAGACTAATTCACAGAGTAAGAGAGAAAGAGGGCAGAAAGACAAAGGGAAGAGAATGGGAGGAAGGGGACAAGGAGGGTGGAGAGGAGAGGAGAGGAGAAAGGGGATTGAAAGGGTGAAGAGAAGCAGACGAGAGAGAGAGAGAGAGAGAGAGAGAGAGAGAGAGAGAGAGAGATTGCAAAGTGTTCAGTGTAGTAATATAGTCGCACTTTGACCTTGTGGGTGTGGCCTCTGGTGGGTCAATGTGGGGTATTCATGGGTATTTGGTTGGGTTTGAGTGTGGGTAAAGTGTGCAGGTGTAAGTGTGGATGGTGTGTGTGTGTGTGTGTGTGTGTGTGTGTGTGTGTGTGTGTGTGTGTGTGTGTGTGCGTGCGTGTGCGTGTGCGTGTGTGGGTGTATAGGTAGTGTATGTGTAAGTAGGCAGGGAGGTATTAGGCAGCTACCAAACAGGGAGGTACTACCACCTGGGAAGATATTGGAAGCATAATGTGTTGTCTAATGGTAGACCCTGCTGCTATATGGCATCACGAAAATTGTGACCAAGTCCCAGGTTGCTGATCTGACTTTCTGCCTCATTTACACACAATTGCAGGGTCTCAATTGTTTCTCTTAGTTTGACAATACAACATACATATAGTCTTTCTCATTATTGATTTTTTAATTTTTTTAATTTATTTATGGCTTATTATTATTATTATTATTATTATTATTATTATTATTATTATTATTATTATTATTTTATTATATTTTCGCCCCCCAGCTCTTGATGTTGGTCATAATAAATTGAAATAGCCCGGATGGGTAGAGTGAGTAGGTGTAAGTGTGGGTAGTGTGCGTGTATGTGGGTGTGAGCATAAACACAAGAACATAAGAATGGAGAAAACTGCAGCGGGCCCATTGACCCATCCATACTGGGCAGTCCCGTTTATACCCAACCCCTATCACTCATATATCCATCCAACCTATGTTTGAAGCTATCCAGCGTGTTCGAGTTCATGATGATGTTTGGTAACTTGTTCCACTTGTCCACTACTCTATTTCCAAACCAATGTTTACATATCTCGCGCCTAAATCTAAATTAGTCTAATTTAAAACCATTGTTACGAGTTCGCTCCTGTTTGGATAGTTTGAGTACCTTTGTTATATCACCTTTGTTTAGCCCTGACTTCCATTTATACACCTCGATCATATCGCCCCTCACTCTACGTCTCTCGAGGGAGTGCAGATTAAGATGCTTTAACCTGTCTCTGTACTCAAGGTTCCCAATGCCCGGGATTTAGTCTTGTAATTCTCCTTTGAATTCTTTCTCGGGATTCTATATCCATTCTATAATACGGTGACCAAAACTGAACTGCGTAATCCAAGTGAGGTCTCGCAAGCGCAAGATATTGTTTTAGGATGACCTAGCTAGTTTTGTAACTAACACTCCTTTGTATGAACCCAAGTACTTTGTTTCAAGCAAATACACATTGTTGACTAGGTTTAAGATCCCTACTCCTAAATCTTTCTCACAGCCGGATTTCTCTTATAACATCGTTGTTCACCTGGTATCTGGTTTCTTTGCTTACATCTCCTAGACTAAGTACTTTACATTTGTCCACAGTAAATTTCGTCTGCCATTTTTCAGACCCTTCGAAAAATTTGTTTAGATATTCCTGTAGTTTTGCGGAGTCCTCGTCAGGTTTAATTGTACGCCCTATTTTAGTGTCATCAGTAAATTTACTTATGTTGCTGGATAGAGTATGTGGGTGCATGTGTAGAGTATGTGTGTGTGTATGTGGGTGTGAATGTGTCGATGTAAGTGTGGGTAGAATGTGTAGGTTTAAATGTGGATAGAATGTGTAGGTTTAAATGTGGATAGAATGTGTAGGTTTAAATGTAGATAGTGTGTGTGCGTATGTGGGAGTGATTGTGCGGGTATGTGTGTGTCTTGTGTGGGTAAAGTGTGTGGGTTTTTCAGACAAGCAGGATTTCATATCTTAATAAGTACAGTATCAATAATAATTACAATAATGATAATAAAGTAAAAACACAGAAAATTAATGATAGGAAGAACTAAGATAAAGACGAGAAGAAGAAGACGAAGACACTGTAAAAAAAATAAAAAGCTATATAAAGGAAATAGATAAACTAAGTAATACAAAATAAAAATAAGAACCATAGGATAATAAAGATCAAAGGGAAAGAAAGATGATATTGGAAGAATAATGATAAATAAGAATAATAATGAAGAATGTTAGAGTATAGAAGTTGTAGAAGGGGCTGGTAAGGCTAGGTGGACTTACCTCTTGGTGCGATGCCTGTACACTGACCAACTCCGCCTACCTGTGTCTGCCCATTACACCTTTTCCCCACCCCCCCACACCCCCCCCCCACACACACACGGACGTATTTACAGACAAACAAACACACACATACACACACACACAGAGGTGACCTTGGTGTTGATGCAAGATACCTGTTTTGTTCCTCACCTCTGCCAGGTCTCCAGGCCTTATGGAGCTTCTCTTGTAGTGCCAGGGTAGGCGAACGTGCGTCTGGCGTTGTATGCATGAGGTGATGTTGATTGCTCGTTTAACTTTGTGTCTTATTTTTACAAACTTAAACAACGTTAGCAGAGTTATTAACGTAATGTTATCCAGCCAATCAATGAGAATCTAGGCTATTCAACCAATCAGAATACACTTAAAAGTGACTGGGTTCTCATCCAATCATAAAACGTCTTATTAGCTAATCTAAGTAAACCTAATCTAGCCTGACCAACCCAAGACTAAACTACCTTAACCTAACTTATTCTAACCTAACCTTACCTTAATCAACCAAATCTGCACACCGTCCACTTTACTATCAAGGAATTCCAATGTGTTTGTAGTCAAGCGGGCGGCGTGGTGGGTGGTTGGGTGGGTGTTTGAGGAAGGCTGGAAAAACCAAGTTCTTAAGGAAGTCACACTTTGTTTATATTCATGACTATGATCATCTTCTCCCTCTTCCTCTCCCCCCACTTTTCTCCCCACTCCTTCTCCTTCTTCCTCCCTCCCTCTCCCGGCTTTTCCCCTCCCTTCCTTATCCTTCTTCCTCCCTCCCTCTCCCTCTCACGGCTTTTCCCCTCCTTTCCTTATCCTTCTTCCTCCATCCCTCTCACGGCTTTTCCCCTCCTTTCCTTATCCTTCTTCCTCCATCCCTCTCCCTCTCACAGCTTTTCCCCTCCTTTCCTTATCCTTCTTCTTCCATCCCTCTCACGGCTTTTCCCCTCCTTTCCTTATCCTTCTTCTTCCATCCCTCTCCCGGCTTTCCCCTCCTTTCCTTCCACTACATCAGGGGTGAGCCAGACTTGCTTAACCTACAGTAAGAGCCGCATGCAAATATTACTATGAAACACCTGTACGCAGTAATATTGACTCATGTACCCTGTAAGTAGTTTTTAAAGTGTTAAGTTGTTTCAATAATCAGGAGTACACATAAATGTTATCCGAATCTTGAGTGATGTTTGTTTTAGCGGTGGTGAGGATGTTTAGTACATAATGAAAGACTCAGAAAATATATGCCTGTCTTCATTTCAGTGACATAAAATAGAATTGCTGAAGGGGGGAAAATGGTGAAAATAACTATAAAATATTTTTAATTATATTTATTTGTCTTGGTAAACATTTGGTCAAAACTTGGAGGAAAAATGAAAAGAAAAACAAAACAATAAAATTAGAGATATTTTAACCAGTTACCGCCTTACAAAGATTGTTTTTACGTAACTCTGATTAAGGTGGATAATCACACGAGAAGTTTTTGTGGTTTGTGTCGTAGTGGCGTTTCCAGTTACTGTACTGGCTTTGTAGTGAGTGGGTGAGAGACACTCTGGCTTAAAATTTATGTTCATCTTCGTACTTTCGCTCCTTACAATTGGATGATGGTGCTTCCCTTCACAAAATTTTCATAGACAGTTAACCAATAAATTTAACAATATTTAAAAACAACTTATTTTCATGAACAGTAAACACAACTCGTATCCGGGGCGTACCAGTTAGATCTGAGCAGTTCACTGTCTCGTGTCCTTATGTGTTAGGTTACATCTCCCCTTCCCTCTTTCTTCCGTTATCCCTGATCTGAAATTTACTGTCCTGACTCAGCAATGATGAACACCTGACTAAATTCTCGCATTAAAATGAAGAATTAATCATTTAAATTCCTAAATATATATACTCCACTTGTTTTTGTTTTAATGCAGTGACCTCCCCCTCTAACTCTCCTTCCCTATTCCCCCTTCTCTTCCCCCCTCCCTATCTCCCCTTCTCTTCTCCCTCCCCATCTCCCATTCTTCTCTCCCTTCCTATCCCCTTCTCTTCCCCGTCCCTATCTCCCTTCTCTTCCCCCTCCCCATCTCCTTCTCTTCCCCCTCCCCATCTCCCTCCTCCTATCTCCCTTCCTCCTCCTCTTCCTCCCATCTCCCCTCCCCTCCCTATCTACCCTTCTCCTCCTCCTCTTCCCCTCCCCATCTCCCCTCCTCCCTCACCCTCATCTCCCTCCTCCCCATCTACCTCCTCCTCCTCTTCCCCCTCCCCATCTCCCCTCTCCCTCTTCCTCCTCCTCCCTCCTCCTCCCTCCTATCTACCCTTCTCCTCCTCCTCTTCCCCTCCCATCTCCCCTCCTTCCCTATCTACCCCCTCCTCCTCCCCTCTTCCCCCCTCCCATCTCCCTCCTCCCTATCTACCCTTCTCCTCCTCTACCCCTCTCCATCCTCCCCCTTTCCCCCTTTCCCACGGCTCTCCCCTACCCCTCCTCTTCTCACATCATTATGGCCTCCATCCTGTTATTGACTAGTTCCAGGTTGTCAGGCCACACAATCAACCTTGTATCCTGGTCTGTCTGTCGAGAGATTCTACCATATTCTAAGATTAGATTATTTGACCTCCACCAAGGTTAACCTCCCATGGCCTTACACATTACCCTTGTCATCATCCCCCTTCTCATTCTCTCCTCTCCTCCTTCCCCTCTTCCTCGCCTCCCACCCTCCTCTCTCCCCATTATCTCTTACCGTATGTATTTAACCTTGACTCACCTTGTGTGCATCACTACTGCATTCTGGACACACACACACATTAACATAACACAGTACTGTTCATCTAATATACTATAGCAATAGCCGTGTGTGTGTGTGTGTGTGTGTGTGTGTGTGTGTGTGTTCTGGGTAGCCGAAACGGCACAATCGTTGTTCATCAAACTTGGTGGAAAAATCGCAAAAAATTCGTAGATTGGAACAAACCTGGTCCCATGTCGATGGTTTCTTTAGGAAGGCATTAATTAACCATTTTATTTATGCTCGTACGCTGTCAGCCGGACGGCGGTTGCGCGCTAGCCAAGCACGAGCGTTCAAACTTTCACCGGGCACGAAGGGCCCACGATCACTTGTTATTTCACTATATAAGTAACACAAATAGTTTATATAATTTGGAGCCATTTTACAGGTTTAATTAATTATCTTTATTTATGGATATCTTATTTTGTACCGCTTTATAATCTCTAAGTTATAATTTTCAGGAGTTGTGACTGTTGTAGTCAGTGTTCGTGACGCTCCTCTCCGTGGAACACCCCCTGAGACTCGTCCTGTGTTCTAAGCCGCCATCGTCTGCCATACACGGACAGGGAGGAAGGAGAGACCAGCACCCATCCACTACCAGAGACACCCAGGTACTGACCCTCGTGTTGTGCTGGCTCTTATTACCGCCGTCATTCAAAAGTTTTAACTGTGAACTCTTGTGTTGCATAATACTACCACTGCTTGGCGTCTGCTGTGTTAACCTAATTTGAATTTAAACACAGTAAGAGTTTTATAGGGAGTGAATTTATTTGCTCTTTAAACATGTACAGATCATAGACGTGAGTAGGCTAAGAGTTTACAGAGTTAGAAAGGTAGACATGGACAGGTATTCGTTTAATGTACAATCGCCATACAAGTATACGGACAGTGTCAGCAGTGGCGTCAGTTTCCCCGACATAGGGGCGGATTACCCTCTACACCAGACAGGGACGTCGATTGCTATAACAAAAGTGGTGGGTACATGAGAGGTTGAGATAAAAAACAACTTAACAAATGGAACGAGCGGAGAGATAATAATAATAATCATAAAAAAAAATAACCATCATTTTAAATCAGGTATACATAAAATGAAACAAACAATAAGCTTAACTTATACTTGTAATTATTTATATATTCAAATAACTTGGTTAATGGCAGCTATTTCGTTATATTTAATTATCAAACTCGTAGTTATTTCTCATATCTCTTGTTTATTTGTTGTGACTGATGAAATACAGATTGTTTACAACTGTGTGCGGGTATAAATATTTACCCTTGACCCTCTGATGGTTTCCCAAATACACCAGCGGATAGTATGGCCACAAGCTCCTGTCCTTAACATTACTTACAAATATATTAAGTGTGGGTCTATGTGTGTGGGTGATTGGGTATGTACGGTAGATGTGCCTATAGGTGTGTGTGTGTGTGTGTGCGCGCGCGTTGGATAGCTTCAAATATAGGATGGATGGATAGATGAGCGATAGGGGTTGGGTGCATTATAAGCCAATAGGCCCTTCTTATGTTCTTATTATACAGTACGCAGCTCTGACGGTGGTATCAATGGTTCTTGGTGAGATTTTCTTAGTTTTTACAGTTTTAATTATATTTAACTTATTTGTTTTTAGTATTATTTGATTCAAAGGTCTTTGTTATTGATATTGAAGCCGTTTATTTAGCCAGAACAATACAGATACAGTACAGAGTTGATAATAATAACAATATTAACATGGCTGAGCCAGTTGAGAGCCTGAACTCTCTTGAAGGCACCTGATATATACTGTACATTTATCTCAATGAAGTATTATGTCACATTTAGTATCATCTGGAATAGTATACGTAACATGGTGGTGGTAAGAACATATCAGAATGTTACCACGGTTATCACTTCGTTATTTACTTACTTTATTTATTTTATATATTTTACATTTATATTAGAATATATACATATTATACAGAGGAGTTGATATCTGGGTTGTATTAAGGTGGAACAAGAGGACAGAAACTGCCACTATCATGTCTTGTCGGCAAATCTAATTATTGCAATGGTAATTTCTGTCTGTCTACTTGACAGTTTCTGATATAATGGTTCTGGTGGTACAACATAAGCAGGAATATAAAGTAGGTATTACAAAAATATTAATACATTAACAATAGATATTTTCTTAGATGATTTAAAGGAAGGGAGCGTAGTCTTTGCTCGGATGAGTGGGGTAACTTGTTCCACACCCTCATACCATGATATTTTATG